CTAAAATTTTTATTTTTAATTATGTTACTTATAAAAATGTTTACTGAAAAACATCATCGATATCATATAAATCCATAATCCTATAAATCAAATGTCATAAAACATGTCGTGGAATAATAATAATGTCAGGGTACAATCCCAAGAACATCATAGTGCGGAAATCATGTGTACAATGTGTCACTACCGTGCCTAATTTGAACCATTCATAAGGCCCAACTCTAACTTATTAAACCTAGCCCACCTATGGCCCATCAAAGGCTCCTTAAGGGTCCACTAATGGCCTAATTTTTTGAATTGGTCCGTACTCCCCAAATGGGCCCATTACATGTCCAATAATAATTTTAAAGGACCCAACATGACCCAATAGGCCCAATGCTTTACTTCCAGGTCCCCATGCCCAAAACTATACTCCACAGTGGGTTATAGGACCCAATAGTCTAGGCCTAGTCCCCTAAGGCCCAAAAAGCCCATTGTAGTCATTCTGGATATGTACGCACGGCGTACCTGGCACGTACGCTGGCCTTGACCGCAGATAGGGAAGTTGACCCAGTACGCACAACGTACTAGGGTGTACGCTTAGCGTACTAATTATCTTTCTTGGGACTTCATTTGTGACTTAATCCATTAAGTTTTCAAGTCCAAAATATAGATTCCGGTCCTTTAAGACCTCCTAATCCATAAAGTCACAAACTTTATGTGGTTGCATGCATGGTTTGGGGTCAAAACATGATTTTGGTCCTTTAACAAGCTTTATGACCATCAAACACTTGCATGGTTGTGGTTTAACCATCAAGGTTTGATTTTTATGACTCTTAGTGCCTCTAAGAGCCCAAAAGGACAACTCTTATGGTCTGAAATCATCAAGATGCAAGAAGCCTCAACAATGTAGTCCAAAGGTCGCATAAAATACCTCAACATCAAATCTAAACATGCAATGATCAAGCTTGAAGCTTGATACCTCAAATAAGTCAGAAATGGTGCTAATCTTCTGAATCTATAAGCTCCTATTGAATCCTTGCTCCTTCTTCAACAGCTCCCAAATGGAAAAAATACACAAAGGGGGGGGGGGGTTAGGGTTTTCGAGGTAGCTTCTTAAGGATGATAGGGAGGCTGGTCCAAGGACATAAGGTCCTTTAAATAGAGATCAAACCCTAAAATTTAGGGTTTAGGACCTACGCGTGTACGCTACGCATACCCTCTGGTACGCTGGGCGTACGTGCATGGTCTCCTCACCCAAATCTCTTGAGTATGCTGAACGTACCTGGCATGGTACGCCGTACGTAACGCCCTTCTCAGCCTAATTCTTGAAGCCCAACTATCATGGCCCAAACCAAAATAACCCATTATTCAATAAAATAAATAATATTAATACCTGGCAAATCCCGGATGTCACATAACTTCTTCAAACATGAACAAAGCATCCCTGTTTTACCCTTGAAGAGTAAAAATGGCGAAATTGTACTTACAGTTTGTATGACCATTTTGTTTTGGGTAAAATTTCAATCTCAATTAATATGTTCATTGCAGGGCCGGACCTAGGGGTAGGGCAAGCTGGGCGACCGCCCTGGGCCTCGCCAAATCCCGGGGCCCCTACAAGTTATGAATAATGTATATATAGTTTTAAATAATATAAATACATATATTCATATTAGAAATAAACGCCTGTGTAGTTGAGATGGATAAAGCGCTTAGGCTTTCTTCTTTTTAACAAAAGAGGGCCATGTTCGAAACTTGTAAACATTGGAATTTTATATTTTCTTCTTTTTAACAAAAGAGGGCCATGTTCGAACCTTGTAAACATTGGAATTTTATATTTTACATACATTTTTTTGTGTGTCTCCTCGTTTCCAGTTCGTTGTTTCTGGTTCGACTTCTTGAGAATCTCCCTGTTCTCCCCTCCAAAAGCAACCTCTCAGATCAACCTAAAGTTAGATTTCTAAATCCAGTTCTCTGAAGTTCGATTAATGATAATCAATGTGACAGTGAATTTTGATTTCTGATAAACAAATAAAACGATTTCTGAAGTTTATTTTTTTCAACCCAACCCTAGCCGATATTTGAATAATCGTATTAAAGGGCTTCTAACTTTTGATTTCTCATTTTTATTTTGAAGTTCTTTTTCAATATTTGATTTTCGAATGTTCTGATTTCTGAAGAACTTAATGAGTGTAAGTGTTGTTAATCCAGAAAATTTGAGCGGTTTGCTAATCCAACATCTAATTTGATATTTTGAATAGTGTAACCAAGATATTTGATTTTGATTTCCGAACTGGGCTCATGTATCTGACTTTTTTGGCTCTTGCTCGTGCTGTATCTCATTCTTTCATTTTTGTTTCTGGTTTTTTCATGTAACTGACTCTTTTATTCTGTTTTTGATTGTTTGTGTTCATTGTTGTATGTTTATTTCATTATTTGTTTTTCATTAATATTGTAAGTTTTTAGTATTTATAGATTTTAGATCACAACACTAGGTTTAGATCATACCAGTAGCTTTGTGTGGTGAGATCAAAAGGCATCCAGAATGTCTTATTTATGGATATCAGAAGGCATATAGAATGCCTACTTTAATCAACAAATGTGTTTCTACTTAAAGAGAGTTGTTATACTGAGATAATAAAATTGTCACTAAAATTTATAGTTATATTTAGAGAAGCTCCTAAACATGGTTGTTAAAACTAGTGAAGATTATAATGTTTGTTGCTATTGTTGTGGATTGTCATATTTTTTTGGCTCTTGATGCTTATTCGTGTTGGTTTGACTAAACTGCCCTTCACATAAGGATTATTTTGGTTGTGGAAAATAAAGTAGTAAAAATAGGAAATGGAAGGAGGTTTTGTTCCTTTTGGTCTTACTTGGACGAAATTGCCCCTCTTGAAATTACTCATGTCGTAAGCCTTTTTTACTAACTTGGTGGAGTTTTAGTCCTAGCTGAATATACTCAAGATTGGTTTTTGATGGTGATGTCACTTGTATTTTGGCCTTGGAGAGTTCAAAGGATGGCACGGCTGCTGATTGTTGCTTAATGGTTTTGAGTTTTCATATTTTGGTGTTGGTTGTATGGAATAGTGTTTATCTTTTTGTTTTATTCCTTGTTTATTTTTTTTGTTTTATCTTATTTGTTGTCTAGCTGTTCTGTATACTTCCACCTTCCCATTGGTTTTTCTTTTTGAGTTTTAATTTTTTTCGTTCAAAAAACAAATATAGAAGCTCTTGTATATTAAAAATAGTTTTGTTGTGGTGGTCATTTGTGTTTTGGTTAAACTACCAAAAAAAATTAACTATTAATTGTAGTTGTTTAACTACAACTTTTTTATTTTTTAAAGGGTTTCATTTTTACTTTCGCTCTGGATCCAAAACTGGCTTGGACCAGCCCTGGTTCATTGACAAATATTTTTTTTATGTCAGTAACTTTGAATTGATCCATCAGTTCCTTATGTTCTCTTTTTATCAAAAGACGTTTTAGCTATTTAATCAATTTGTATTTAGATTTTAAATAACATTTTGTACTTAGACTTTAAATGATATATGTTTAATTTTGATTTTATACAAGAGTTTGTATTTTTATAGTTATTTTAACCAATACAAGAGAAAACATAAGGGTAAACTTGTTATTTTTCATCATTCAAGATAGTTAGTCAGAAAAATAATCAAACAACGTAAACTTAATCAAATGTGGATTCAATCAGAATTTCTAATCCAGTCAACTTATAACTTAGTTAAAAATATCAAACAACCCTTTAATGATTCTATATAGCAGAGACAATTAAATCATCCTTGTAAAAAATAAAAAGATCGTGCAAAATTTTATTGGCGGTGATAGTGTCATAAAAATGTTCTCAACAAATACAAAACATTTATTTACGATGATTGTCGTTATTTTGTTCATTTTTAAAAAGAGCAGTTATTTGAAGATAAATACTTCCAATTTAAGGATTTATTCTAGATACGATTTAAAGGCTTAACGAGTAACGACACGTGAGAAGTTACATATTCATGAATGCACCCACTGTCATATCTATCATATGGCAAATACGCTCCCACTCACGTCATTCCGCCGACTATTCACGTTTATGGTCCCATTTTCACTTTCTTTCATTTTGCCCCTCATACTTGTTGAGTATCATACAAATAAACCATGCACTTTAAATATCACACTTTCACTACCCGTCTTATAAGTCTCTTTCAAAGATGGCCACAACCTCCCTCATGACTATTTGATCAAAGCTATGAATATCAATATTTATTACATAACAACTTTTTCAAATAACAAAATTAACACTTCTATATGCAATCACATACCCTTATTATATTTAAAAGTTTAAAAAAAAGATAATAGAAGCAAACACGCATGCAATCATGCAAATATACAATGTCAAAGTTTGGAAGCAAGAGATTATTTCTTACCTTCTTATAATGTAAGGAGAACATTTCAAGAATTACAAAACCTTATGGTAGCTAAGTGTAGTTTTAATGTTCAAAAATTCCACCAACGTTCAACAATGACTCATGCCTTCGTCCCACGTGTCCGTTGGTGACTCCCCTACTCCCCTCATATATTCTCCTCTCCCCCAAACTCTATCTACCCCCGATAGAGATTCGTGTTCGCCGACCATTCTCAAATTTTATCATCGTTTCAATTCAATTTTGATATCTAGGGTTCATCCCATCTAATTTGGGGATTTTAATTTGTATGTCTAGGGTTCATCAATCATACCCAAGAGTTTCTTTCGTGCAAAAAGATTAGCTTTCTCAGTTTTGTTGAAGAAATAGTCGTTTTGGGATCCGGGGTTTCATTTTTTCTTCATAAAGAATAGCCAAGGAATTGTCTGCGTTGAAAAAGATTAATTCTCGAGTTTTGTTCAAGAAATTATCATTTTTTGGGGGTTTTCGTTTTATCTGATATTGCCGAAGATGGTTTGAGTTGCTTTTCAATCTGAAGAACAATTTGGGTTATCCGGTTTTGAAGAATTGCTTTCTTCAGATCTATTTATAGGTTACAGATGTCAATGGATGATTCTTTATACTCATCATACTGGTGCTACAGATGCAGCCAATTTATCAATGTTCCGACTCACCGGTTAGATTCTTCTTTCTTTTGCCCGGATTGCAACGGTGGATTCGTAGAGGAGCTCGGTGGCCCGACCCAGATACCCGAGTCAACACTTTCGGACTCTCACCGGAGACGTTTTCCTGCTGCGGCTCTATACATGGTCGGAAACGAGCAACATAGCTCAGTATCAAGTCCTAGCCCACCGGTGCTTCGCCGTACTGTAAGGAACCCAGGTGATCGGTGGCCGTTTAACCCCGTCATCGTCGTCCGTGGACAGACTAGCAACGGGAACACGCCGCCCGTTGAATCCGGCAACGGGAGAGGGTTTGAGATGTATTATGATGACGGAGCTGGGTCTGGTTTGAGGCCATTACCGGTGAGTATGTCGGAGTTTTTGTTGGGTGCTGGTTTTGACCGGTTATTAGATCAATTGACTCAAATTGAAGCGAATGGGTTAGGGAGAATCGACCAGAATCCCCCGGCGTCAAAGGCCGCCATTGAAGCACTTCCGACGATTGAAATTCAAGAAATTCATACTTTCACAGAATCCCATTGTGCTGTTTGTAAAGACCCATTTGAATTACAAACAGAAGCTAAAGAAATGCCTTGTAAGCATTTATACCATTCGGGTTGCATTCTTCCATGGCTAAGTTTACGTAATTCATGCCCAGTTTGCCGCCACGAACTGCCGTCGGATAATCAAGAATCAGTATCTGACGATAACGATGTAGCAGCAGGATTAACGATTTGGAGGCTGCCTGGCGGCGGTTTTGCGGTGGGGAGGAGGGGAAGGGAGAGAGAGATACCTGTTGTTTTTACTGAAATGGACGGTGGATTCAACATCAACGGAGGTCCATGGAGGAGGAGGTCATGGGATTTAAGAGGAAACGGTGGTGGAGGGAATGGCGGATTCCGGCGGTTTTTCAATAATATGTTTTCTTGTTTCAGTGGTGGTGGTCGAGGGCGGAGAGGTTTGTCCTCTAGTTCGAGTTCCAGTTCTGATGATGGAGTAAGCCATAGAAGCAGATTTATTCCGGCGATTTTTAGCAGCTCCTCACGGCGGCAGAGGGCGTGGGCTTCTGACGTGAACAATCGGCCACAAATGTGGTGAATCGAATCTATGACTTCTATTATGTTGAATCATGAATGTAAATAACAAAAGTTAAACAATGAAAGGTGCAAGTTTATGTGTTCCAAACTTATTTCCAAAAAACAAGTCATTGTTTTGAATTAGATAAATTGTTACCGTTTTATTTTTAAACTAGAGACCCGTATTGGATAAAACAAGAATTAAATAGGAAGGTTTAAATACAAATTTATATAGATTTGAAATTTAAAATTTAAAATTTGAATTTAAAGGCTACCATCCTATAGTTGTAATATTGTAATTTATTGGTTATTTTCAATTAAAACCATTACTAATTCAGGTGTAAATATGATATGTTAATTAAAAAAATAAAATAAAAAATAACAAATAAAGAAAACATTTATTCAACAGTATCAAAAAATAACATCCAAGTTAATGAGACAATCAAAGTTAATGAGACAGTGAAGTTTATTTATCAACAAAATTATTTTCAAGCAACTTATTAGTAAATCCTCACCCGTAATGAAACTATCAACACGGCTTGCACTTGGGCTTTTATTTCGCGTCCATGGCTAAAAAAATAAATAAATCCCATCGATTTTTGAGCATAGACCCATTTGTCTTATTGGGTGTTATCATAAAATCATTGCAAAGATATTGGCTAAGAGAATTAAATTGGTGGATGAGTGGCAAGTCCAGTCCAATCCGCTGCAAGGACGCGATGACACATCTTCGGGCCTGTCATGCCGCTCGTTAGACAAAGTTTAACTAATGCTCTTGTGGTTTTTAGAAAATCACAAGTTAACACTAAACAACTATTTAGACGTTCATAAAAACACTGATTTAGGAGCCGAAACTAGTTTGTAAACAGAAAACTGGTTTGACTTAAACCGGTTCAAGATGAATTGATCTGGTTCATGAACCAAATCTTTAGTTTGGTGGGGTGTTAGAGGCAGTGACGAGTTTAAAACGTAAAACTATATGATTTACTATTTAAATGAAACCGATAGAAAATGAAAAAATGTAGAATTTCATATATATTCATACTAAGCACCTAAACATCATATTTGCCCGACCTAAACTTTAGATTTCATATTTGCTATTCCTAATGTTTTTTATATCTTATATACCCAAATCTATTTTTTTGTTAATTTTTATTGATTTATAATTCATTTTCATTACTTAATTCATTATAATTCAAAATAAACATGTAAAGGACAATAATGCCCTTACTTGTAAACTCCAAATACTACCGATGGTAATCCTGCATTCCTATTTCACGTTCACGTAGGAGTTGTTCATTCCGATCGCTAGTCTCCTGTTAGTACTTCCGATCAATTGCACCTTTCCCTATTATTGCATCACTTCCACGCATCAGGTAAACAAAAAACGAGCATAATCCTATTTTGCCTTTCTTTAATTTTGTTTCTGATGTTGTTTGATTTGTTCACCATTTTGGAAATTGGTAAATGATTTTGAAACCCTCATAACCTATTTACCCAAATAAAACCAATCAAGAAGGAACGCGCTAGGAAAATCACATTATCTAAAGGTCTAACGGGCAGGAATCGGTGAATTTTGATCTTTAAACTTGATATCACAAAAAAGAATCACTTCTCAGTTGCAATGAGGTAAAATAAATATCTCGATTATGTGATATTTTATTGATTTGACATCTCAAAATTTAATTTCTTAGTGGAACTATGTTCCTACTGAAAAAGAGACAATTCTAATCAAATAATTGAGAGCTTATAATTTCCTACATAACAAACTAGTGTTCCATGAAGTGGGAGGCTGTAAAACACATTAATGAGCCTTTTCCACAACCTCTACTAGATATTATCCAAACAGAAAATTCTATTCAAATAATTGATCCCAGACTTATTATTTCATATCCCAAAATCATCCGAGACACACAAATGAATGAGCACTTTCCCAAATATGTTGTTCTTGTCCAGTTTTTTATTCTTACTTTTGACAATTTCTGTTGCAGTAAACACCACAACCACAAATAAAGTAATAAGAGACAATGATACACTTGTTTCAGCTGGTGAAATGTATGAATTTGGCTTTTTTACCCTCGGTAACTCTAAGTATCGATACTTGGGGATATGGTATAATAAGGTTTTTCCTCAGACAGTTGTATGGGTTGCTAACAGAGAGACTCCACTTACAGATACCACCAGTGTGCTCAGAGTCAATAACATGGGAACACTGCTGCTTCTCAATGGTAATAATACCTTGATTTGGTCGTCAAATTCCTCATTATCTGTCACTAGTATTAAAATAGTCCAAAGCTTCTAGATTTAGGAAACCTTGTTGTGCATGATAATATGAACAGTAACACATACCAAGATCCTATCTTGCAAAATTTTGATTACCCTACTGACACCTTGCTATCTGGAATGAAATTTGGGAAGGATTTTATCACAGGGAGAAATAGATGCTTGACATCTTGGAAGAGTCTAGATGATCCTTTTCCATGTCCATATATAATTTACTGGGATACAAATGGATATCCACAAGCATTTTAGTTGAAAAAGTATATGCAACAGACGTTTATGAAGGTTGTACATACTAAGGATGTGCTTACTGAACTTATTCAGTACAAACGTTTATGGATTCTAAAATATGGAATTATCAAAGGCAATCTTACTGTGAATTCAAACACACAACGTCCCGTGAGATGTGAAGCTGAAGTGAGTCTTCAAGAAATAATGTTGTACTCTGAGAAATTGATGATATATAGCATTGAACTTTCAAAATTTTGTAATAGTTAATTAAAATAGCTATATATATATATATATATATATATATATATATATATATATATATATATATATATATATATATATATATCTTTGTATGTTTTAATTGTAATATATACAATTACGGGAAGTGATATTTCCACTTAATAATTTGATCCATCCACATGAGGTACAATACTTTTGCAGCTATCGTACAATTTGGTAAAACATACATTTCAAGTGGATTAATCAATTTAAAGCATATATTTGACATTAATTACAGGAAATATGTTGTTTTAAATTTGACACTTGTTACATTTTAGCCCTTGGATTTTAAATTTGCGCTTATTATTGTTTGGTCCTTGGAATTTAAAGTTACACTTATTATAGTTTGGCCCTTAGACTTTAAATCCACACTTATTTAGACCCTAAACTTTAAAGTTACACTTATTACAGTTTGGCCCTTGGACTTTAAATTTGCATTTATTACTGTTTGGTCCTTGAACTTTAAAGTTACACTTATTACTGTTTTGCCCTTGGACTTTAAATTTGCACTTATTGCTGTTTTGTCCTTATACTTTAAATTTACACATATTACACTTATTGCTGTTTTGTTAGCTTTAGTTGTAAATTTTCTTAATTAGGATTCAACTGATGGATTCTTTTGTTAGTACGTGACATAAATAAACATTTTAATATAGTTTTTCTTTAATTGATTTGCATTTGGATATATATATATATATATATATATATATATATATATATATATATATATATATATATATATATCTTTGTATGTTTTAATTGTAATATATACAATTACGGGAAGTGATATTTCCACTTAATAATTTGATCGATCCACATGAGGTACAACACATTTGCAGTTATCGTACAAGTTGGTAAAACATACATTTCAAGTGGATTAATCAATTTAAAGCATATATTTGGCATTAATTACAGGATATCTGTTGTTTTAAATTCGACACTTGTTACATTTTGGCCCTTGGATTTTAAATTTGCGCTTATTATTGTTTGGTCCATGGACTTTAAAGTTACACTTATTATAGTTTGGCCCTTGGATTTTAAATCCACACTTATTTAGTCCCTAAACTTTTACATTTATTACAGTTTGGCCCTTGGACTTTAAATTTGCATTTATTATTGTTTGGTCCTTGAACTTTAAAGTTACACTTATTACTGTTTGACCCTTGGACTTTAAATTTGCACTTATTGCTGTTTTGTCCTTATGCTTTAAATTTACACATATTACACCATATATTCCAAATGCAAATCCATTAAAGAAAAACTATATTAAAATGTTTATTTATGTCACCATACTAACAAAAGAATCCATCAGTTGAATCCTAATTAAGAAAATTTGCAACTAAAGCTAACAAACTTTTCAAAAGTATCAACTAATTCACAACCTTTTTCATGTAGACCCCGGAACTCCCAAATCACCATACGATTTTGTATTCCTTTCATGTCTCCTAAAATTAACAAACAAATTATTTTCATTGATAGTGTTGTTGTCGTTTAGAGAAAAAAAAATTGAATTTTTAAGATATGGATGTTTCAGTTCCATCAAAATTTTTAGATGCTGGATTTTTACATGTCTTTTCACGGTGTCCATACTCTCCGCATCGTGGACACTTGTGTATTCTTTTAGACTCATCTGATGATTTAATTCTATTTTTTCTTGGTCGTCCAGGGGACGTTTGATATTTTCTCCCCATTTTTTCGCCCATTGATCCTGTCCAGGCATCTGAGCAATTTGAAAAGCATATGCAACTTTAAAGTTCTTTATAGTAAAATAGGGATCAACATATTTGTCCCAGTTAGCATCCTTTATAAAAGAAATAAAAGCTACTGCATGTACACATGGTCGGCCGTGAACTCGACACACTCGACAACTACATTTTCTTTCATCTAGGTTGACCTCCCAACGTGTTCCCTTGTACTTCACTTCAGCTTGATTGTCACAACTTCTAGTAACTTCATATTCACCCAAATTCTACATAAAAAGTTTTATATATATATATATATATATATATATATATATATATATATATATATATATATATATTATTGAAGTAAAAAGTAAAATAAATATAGTCAATCAACTAAATTATTTTACATGCTTACCTTAGCGATGTCATTGAGATGGTTTTTAGAAATAGGAACCGATGTGTCATTCCATGTATTCACCAAATTCCTTTTCTTATCAAATTGTTTCATAATCTTTTCCCTAATTGCATCAAGGAGATCAAGCATGAGTTTATAGCGCAACTTACCGATCCAAGAATTAAATGTTTCAGAAATATTATTAGTGATGTAATCACACTTGGAAGTAGTACCAAACTTGCTTCTACTCCATATTTTTTTGTGGTTGGTATTTAGATATGCAATGGTATCTTCATTTTTATCACTAATTTCCTTCAATAATCTGTCATGCTTTGTAGGACGAAGGTTTTCGCGGCAGCCCATAGTTTCTTGTTAAAGAAGTCACCACGAAAGTGTTTCTTGAAGTTGTTATATAAGTGCCTTATACATTCTCTATGCTCAACATTAGGATAAACATTCATAATGACTACTTCTAACCCTTTTTGCATGTCTGATGAGATAACAAGACCATTTGGCGTTCCAATTGCTTTTTTGAGTGAGTCAAGAAACCATGTCCATGATTGTGTGTTTTCTGATTTAAGCACACAATATGCTATTGGAAAGATAGAATTGTTACCGTCAATACCAGTTGAAGCGACTAGTACACCATTAAGCTTTCCAATAAAAAGACAATCATCAACACCAATATATGGACGACAACCAACAACAAACCCTCTAGGACAAGCTGCTAAACAAATAAAAAACCTTTTGAATAGTTTCTTTCCACCAACTATGTCAAAGTCAATTTCAATAACGCTTCCTTCTTTCCTTCATAATAGTTCTTTTCTAAATTCATCCATCTTCATGAAAGAGTCTTCTCACTTACCATACATGTCGGTATAAGCTTGCTCTTTCCCTCTGAAAACTTTTAGGTATGTCACATCAACATTGTAAGTATTTATAATCCAATTTCTAAGTTCATATGGAGAGACATCCCCATCAGATTTCAACTTGTCAGTAACTACATTAGCAATCCATCCTTGAGTGGCACGCTTATTGCCACCCTTGTTGCTTCGAGTGCAAGTATGCACTTCTACTATTTTCTTAACCTATAAAAGAATTAAATAAACATAAATATATATTTAATATAAAGCATGTTAAATATAACTGAAGGTATACACTTACTTCAAAGGTAACTTCATCTTGTGTAATAGAAGCATGAATTCTCCACTCGCACTCTAGGTTTTCACACCTTGTTGTGAATCATGTCGGGTTACTTTTCTGAATGTAGTAGTTAAACTCATTTGTGACTGCAAAGTGGTTCAAAGCTCTCCTAAAATCAACCACATTTTCAAATTTTGAGTTTACTTCCATGCTTATACTATTCTTACTAAATGAGTAAACTTCATCATCATCATCATCATTCATTAGATTCTCTTCATTATCAGAATTGAGATGACTATGATAGCTTTGTTCACTAGGACAAATGTCTGCATCATACTCATCATTTGGTTCATCTCTGTTGGCACACAAATAGTGAGTATGGTTACTGGAGCTGAAGTTATTCTCTGTTGTCACATAAATGGTTACTTGTTTCTTGCTTCCATACATGCTAATCATAGTTATGAACTTTTCATCAGAATCAAGCTCAATAAATGATTTGTTTGGTGCATACTTGTCAACATAAAGAATAGAAAATTTTGGGTTGTTCTTTGATGAATAACGCTTTGTCACATCTTCATGTAGTTGACTTAACTTATATAAACATGTGTCAATGTGGATACATTTTTGAGAGCCAAAACAATGTATTTGCCTACAACTGTTCTTTGTTAGCCGAAAGTAACCCCCATTTTCAATTTTAACTTCAACTTAGATGTTGTATACGCCTGAAATTGAATATTAATTAGAGAAACAAATATACAATTTAGTAAAAGTTTAATAAATTAAAATTATGATATCCACATAAACATACTCGATTATTGGAGGCGTAGCCTTGCTCTCTCATATTGGTTTTGATGTGTCATGAAAGGTATTATCTTCCGTTTGAGAATGATCTTCCGAAATTGGTTTGTATCGCCTCTAAAACATAATTTTAAGTAGGCGATAAGAAAAAATTATAACACAACTTCAAGCATTCGAGTTAGTGATATATTTTCATAATTATATCATTAGTTATACTTTCTAATTATATCATTAGTTATACTTTCTAAAACTATAGGAGGTCTTATATATTGATATATTTTCATAATTATATCATTAGTTATACTTTCTAAAATATTTTTTTCCAATATATGACACCAAACTCACTTAAAAAATTGATTATTCTTTTTTGTTTATACTTCATCGTCGTAACAACGCTTAAATATTTTGACAATTGCACGACGCAATTGATTGTCAGTTATGGTGTGGTGCACCAGACATCAAATGTGATTTATAAAGCGATCATTGAGGGTTAAAAAACAACGCTTGGGACAAAATATTGATTAATGATTATTGTTTTTTTTATCTTAACTAATATTGGAGTATTCATATTAAATTATAACTTAAAAAAATTTAGGCTTTTAAAGTATAGAATATTGGGTGCATATTTTATTTTGTCGAAAATATTAATATAGTTCATTACAAATGTTTAATGTTGGTCACAAATTTGATTCTATATATCTTTGTATATATAAAAAAAATAGGTGGGTCAAGTGACCCAACTTAGTTACATGTGGCATCGTCTCTAGTTAGAGGCTCGGTTTTAACAACGCATTTTCATTATTGTTTTTCTGTTTTATTCTAAAACTATTATAGCTGTTTTGGGGTGTCAGAGACTTGGTTTTTGGTCCTTTGGTCAATATTAACCATTCCTTGATTGTGTGTTTGTGTGTGTACACACACATACTAGTCGTTTACATGCGCCAACCTACGGATGCGAAGAGTTTTTTTATAAATTAG